CACCGCCCACACAAGACGGAGTCCAGCCGTCCAAAAGAATAAATAATGAAAGGGAACGCCACATGTTTGAAGAAAAACTAAAAAATAACTATTTGTTTCCTGCAGTTTGAGTTCAAATGGCTTGACCGAGGTTTGTGTGCTCCCAGACAGGCCAGCGGGGCGTCACTTGGGCTCAAATGAGTAAAGATTTTAATTATGGCCAGTTGACAGTTTGATGAGAGCCGGGGAAGGAGGAGGGGCGTCCTCACAGCTGAGCTGGAGTTACAGCGGCCGTACAGTACGGCGGTGGGAGCGCTGGCACACACGGCTCCCGGGGTCTTGAGGGGTTAATCAAAATGCCAAGTGTTACCGTGCACCGTGGCAGAGAGCTATACCCAGCCTGCCTGCACGACACAGCACCCCACACGGGAAACACAATCATTCATGCAACCAAATAGCCGTACTGTTTATAGGCTCAAAGATAAATGCACGCAGCAGCCGATGCTTCTTCTCCACCCTAAATGCTAAAAAAATTTAAATAAAAAAAACGAGACCCTTTTTCTACATGTTCTCATTGTCTAGCTTTCCATGAAAGCGAAAAGTCGGATTTGAACCTTTGGACTCTGTTTGGACACTTTGGTGCTCTTACTTTCTGAGCCACTGTGGCAATCCCACAGTGTGTGTGTGTGTCTGTGTGTGTGTGGGCCCACATGTCTTGTAAAGCATGTGCGAGGGAGACAAATGGTGTCTCATACAAAGAGAAAGCCACAAACAGCTCAGGACAGACAGAAAGGGAAGACACAGATCCACCTGTTTGACACAGAGAGCCTGAGAAAGTGCAAAGGAATGAGCAGAATGCCCGTGTGTGTGTGTGTGTGTGTGCGTGTGTGTGCTGCAGTTAACACTCAAAAGGTGCACGCGTGTGTCTGTGTGTGTGTTTCAACCAACTGATAATACTATCAGGAATGGCATCTAGAGAACGGTATGTAGAAAAACAGCTGATGGGGGCTCGTATATACCAACACACGCGCGCGCACACACGCACACGCACACAAACTATTAAAATAATTTGATGAATAAAAGCTCCGAAAACGATTGGCGCAGACGCACAGGTGAAACGAGGTGCTGATAAGGGAAGGCACAAAGCGGCAGCAGCTGGGACGCACGCATCCAGCGAACGGCGCGGCGGCCACGAGCCTCCAGGGGCGCGCACGTGGGAGCGCACAGCCGCGGGGCCGGCGAAAGCAGACAGCCGGACAAGTGGTCGCCGTGAGAAGGAAAAGTGGGAGAAACTGGAGCACGTGTGAACCAGAGAATGATGCAAATAAACAAGCAAAAATACTCAAATGCAGTCGCTGCCAAACTGGAGACAAAAAAGGGCCGACGGGCCACGCCTGGACAACCCGAGGGCTAAAATTATAATTACTGGGTCACATCAGCTCAGAGCTCCCAGTGTTTTACCGTTTTCTGTTTCTGGTGTCATTTGTCCACTTTGCATTCATTTGTGTGTCTTTGTGGTGGTTTTATGTCTTTTTGTAGCTTCATTGGGTCTTTTTCTGGTAGCTGTGCGTATGATGAGTTTAGTTTTAGTTTTCGGTGTCTTTTGCAGTCATTTTGTGTTTCTGTTTTACTTCATGCTCTCTGTTAATATTATATGTGTCGTTTTGTGTTTTTGGAGAGCGTGAATTAAAGCCTTTTATGATGCTGGATGGTCTCTGAGACAAATGGAACAACAACGTGTTCTCAGTGTGCTCAGCATGATTTGGAGTCTATCACAGAGATCCGTATTTCCAAAATGAGTCAGGAAAGGGCCAGGAGACTAAAGTTTACTGAAACAGAAGGGACGCACCTCAAGATCTGAAGGAGCAGAGAAAGAAGGAAGAGCACTGCTGATCTTCAGGCAGAGACAGATGCTTCTAGAACTGAAACTGACGGAGGAGCCAAGACAAAGTCTATGCAGGATTTAGGAGACTCAAAGACTGATCACACAAAGGTTTCATCCAAAGCAAGTCTGTGTGAACAGCTAGAAACTCTGGGACTGAATAACAAGATAAACAGTCATAAATGAGAAAAAAAAATCAATCAGAGGAAGAATGGAAGCTGTTATAAAGACCAAAGACATGGCGTTTAAGAGTTTGAGAAAAAAAGGAACATTTATCTGCTTCACATTGGTTTTTAACTAATGAATAACTAGTTTAAACAGGTTTTTGAAAGATTTTGAAAGAAGAACAGGTGGTTTGTAAATCTCTATAAATGTACGCTCTTCATATTCAGCCCCACTAACTATGAGCTTGTTCTCCATGTAAGGGATAGACCATCAGCCAGAAGTCAGCAGGTTTTCTGCACGTGGAAAAAAAACTTAAAAGATCTTTTTCTGCAAATGGACAGCAGGTATGTCTGAAGTAAATAACTGAGACATCTGAACGGATCTCGCAGCACAGAGAATATCCATGCACACAGCGGCGTGCACACGCATGTCACAGCTGAACGGGGAAAATGTCAGCCTGAGAGGCCTCCTGACAGAGCCACGTGTGATTTACAGGCTAAATAAATGTGATCACTGTCGGCACGGCAACAGGGTCCCTGATGGGGTGGGTCCTTTGTGGTACTAATGGGCTCTTTATAAACCGATGTGTGTAGACATTAAAAACCTTCAAAAAGGACTGAATATGGACTTTGGTATATTGTTCATAGCAAAAATTCAGTTTGGTGGCTAATAGCTGATCTACAGGGTCAAAAAGATCTCATTTAAAAAGGAAATAATCATCAAACAATCATCAGCAAGCGAGCATTTGCATAAAGCAGAAGAAATAACCTTAAAAAATGTAACATCTTAATTTTTGCAACTTACACAACTAACTGTCACAGCCTTAGTCTCCTGAACTGTGAAAAAATGGTTGATTTCTTTAGATTTTATAGAATTTCTACCACTTCCTGAAACTTTTAAGGCTGAAAGATTAATAACACGAGCAATGACCCTGTGATAATGTGACCATTAGCAGCTGAGTCGGTCTTGAATAACCTGGTGTGGATATGGTGTGTCTTCACCCTGATGTCTTCATAAACAAGCCACACCTTCATTACATAAATATTATCATTTTGCATAAAAAGCCTGTTTAACGTTTTTATGCAAAAATACAATGTTTTTCTATCAGATCACCAAACAGCACAGATGAAGACAGGCTTTAAGGCGGAGAAGGAGGGGAGGGGGATAGAGACCTAAAATGCTCCAGAAGCCTGTCACATGGTGCCTGAAGCTGCACGACTCAGCACTCCTCTTCTCTGTGTTGTGTCCGTTCCTGACATTTATCTGCTTTATTAGATTATCTGGGCTGCATGCTAGCACACACACACACACAGAAAAATGTACATAACGCACACTGCTCTCGATTCATTACAGTCGTAACTGCTTACTTAGGTTTATGCCCTCTTTAAATTAAAGCAGAGATAAGCGAGCACCTCTGAGAACGCCGCCCCTTAACGTGGGCAGGAGGGCTCAGACTAGTCATTGAGGAGGAAATTAAGAAACATTGTTTGCGAGTGTATTATCACGCATGTGTGAGTGGTCATAAGGTTGTTTTTAACTGCCTCATCTATAGGGACTCTGCTTCCCATCATTAGTAATTCAATTTGCTCTTTATTAGCAGCTCTTATCAGAGGCACAGACGGCTAAGAGCAGCTTTCTTGCTCCATCTTCCCCCTGCACTCACCCCTGCTCCATCTTTCCCCGAGACTGAGTCTCAGGGAAAGACTCGTTTTAATTAGAGAATCGTGTGTTCCTGCTCTGAGCTTTTCGGGGGCCTTCCTGTCACATTTAGAGCTAGGAGGAGAGATAGGGGCGAGGGAGAGAAGGTGAGGAAACGGGAGGTGTCAGAAAGATTACAGTTAAGTTGGAGAAAGAAGTGGATGGTGGACAATGGGAGAATAAAGCTCATGTTAATGCTGATGGCTTTTCTAATGTAGGAGAGATTACACCATGATGGGCATGAGCCGTGCAGGGTACACACAGAATGACCGGGGGGTTTGAGGGGCATGTGGCTAGGAGGGGGGCAGTAAAAACAATGATTGCTTTCCATCAGGTTAGGCCTATATTCTACAGTTCGTTAAAACAATCCAATTTGCAAAAGGATAATTATGCATTAGCTCCTTTTTATCTGCTGGAGGGAGAGTGGTGCCAGAGCTTGATAGCAGCGGCGCTGCTTGCCTCCACCTCTGCAAATTACCCGCTATCGGCACTTGTTCGCCATCACGACTGAATTGGGCAATCAATTAACCTCCCCCCTCCTCCTCTTGTGCTCTGACTGGAGCCTCACTGTGACACAAAGCCCCAAAAAGCATGAGGAGAGTGGGATCTGCTGCCTCCGCTGGATGAAGCTGAAACAGCCAAAAAGCTGCCAGATCTGACACGCAACTCTTTTCAAACTGCATTTTTCAGTTTGAAAAGAAAAATCAAGCACTGCCTGAATAAAATTTACAGCCCCTGGAGCCCTTTTATCCGAAAAGTCACACAATTTGAAGCAGATGACAATGGCTAAAAATGAGCAAAAAAAATATAGTAACAACAAGTCACATATGGGTGATTGGTGACAATACGGCAATAATCCCAGTCAGGATTAGAGTCAGTGAATGTGACACAAGAGGCTCAGCATCTTCTCAGATTTAAGAAATAACTTTCTTATTCTACAAAAACTTCTGAATGTTTACTATCTATAGCTTATGGCTATAAAATGGCTATCAACAGCTTATAACTATAGATAGACATTTTATACGGCCATCTAAACTTTTATTCAAAGATCATCAGGCTGTCAATCTAACTCATTAATTATATAAACCCAAGACTGAGACAGATGTTTGTTTTTATTGGATCACACCTGGATTTCATCTTTCATCCTAAAAACTGAATAATTTCCTGAATCATTACTGATTTTTTTTACCTTCTCTGCATACAAGCTCCAGGTTACACCCTGCTGGGTTGCCAGGTTGGTGGCAGTTTCCCTCCTCTCAGCCTGTGTGTGGGGTGCTTACTTGTTCTTGACATCGTGGGGGAGAGTCGCCTTAATTTGTGTCTTCCAAAAGACACAAGCTCCCTGGGGGGCGTCCTCCTTGCTGCAAAGGGGCTCCTGGTTGGGGTGTGGATTCGGGCCCGTGGGGGGAACTTCATGGCAGAGGGGCTGCTCCCCTTCTCTGACGACCCTGGACTGGGGTCACAGTAAAGTAGAAAGAGAGTTAGAGAAGTTTTGGTAGAACAACCATGCAGTTTTAAGGCTGTCTTAAGGTCATTCTAAGCCACTTCAGAGATGAGGTGAAAAAAGGACATGTGACTCTTTGCTGCCACCTTCTGTCCAAAACCTGAACAGCTCCTGATAAACAAAGCCTGAGAGTGTCAGAGGGAGTTACCTGCTTGCAGACCTTCGAACGATCTTCATCCTGCTGCGGAGCTTGAACCCCCCAGGGGAGGAGAAGGGGGGATGTGTACGCTGAGGTAAATATGGCGGAACGAGCCCCGCCTTCATTCCTCTGCTGCTTTTCTCCGCCGTCCAATGGAAGGCAGACCTTCGACCGGTGGCAGCGGCAGCCCCGGCCCCCCCTCCGGGGTTATTCTGCCCCCCAGCCTTCCAACGGTAACGGCTACCAAGCGAGGAACCGGAGGAAGAACTCCCAATTCCCTTTTTTATTCTCAAAGAGGGTGCAGAGGCTGATTTAAGCTTCTTGGCGGCATCCCCCTTCTCCAGGCTTCTCAGGGGAGGGGTTGAGTTTTTGGGAGATGCTGGCTTACGAGGCGTCCGGGCCTGGGCTCCAGCAGCAGAGACCCATTTGTACTTTGAGGTTTTGGGGGCTGTACCCACTGGGCTGAGTTTGCGAGCCATCTTCTTTGGAGGCGTCTTCTTACTGAAAGTGGATGAAGATGGGCTGGAAGCGGGGACTTCAGCTTTGGCAGGAGCAACTTGTTTTGGCTCCCCCTTTTTCGTGTTCTGGCTCTTTACCCATGTGAACTTAGATTTAGTCAGAAAAGACGCATTCACTTGGGAGTTTTGGGTGGATGCTTCGCAAGAGGGGTGTTTTGTTGGTGGAGCCGGGGGAGCTGGTGTGAAGGTACCAGCTGTAAGAGTGGTTGAGCTTTGTGTAGTCATAACTTGACTGGTTTTATCATTGGTCTTGGTAGTTAGGGGGGGTTTGATTGGCGAAATGGCTGACATACTTTCCTTCTGACTGCCTTCAGGCCTCTGCTGGACTTGCAAAATTGTGTCTGTTACACCTTGTTTTTCATCTTTGTGCTGCAGAACAGCTGGTTGTGGATCTGAGTTTAACTTCTTCCTGCCTGCTCCCTCTAACCCTGTCCTCTTGTTTATATGTCCTTCTTTCTTCTGCTGGGCAGGACCTCCTGACAGAATAGAAGCAGTTTGGGTCAGAGCAGTCTCATCTATTCTGCTAAGATTGGGCACGGACGCACTGTTCTCTCCACTTTTAGGGGTAGAAGCTGACAGATGGCCAGCAGAGGATGGGAGGGGTTTATTTCTCAGGGAATATGTTTTCCTCCAGCTCCCACGGCTCTGAGGAACAAACACCTCCCCTCTGGAGCTGGGAGGGTGGAAGCCTCTGGCGGCTGCTGAATCTTCGGGACACATCGGCTCTGCTCCAGACAGTGGTGTGTCTCCATGGATGCTCTTATGCTTGTTGATAAGATCTACAATTTCAATAGAAAAAACAAGTGACATTTAGTCATAGATTTGGTTTAAGTGGAATTCAAACATATGCTTCAGCAGAATATTCGGACATGTCTGCTTTCATTAAACCTGAGCTTGTCCTGAACAACACAACACCTTACATTTACATACATATTGACATTACAAAATACCCAACAAATACTTGTCTAACACATCCTGTTCTTTACCATTTTCTCCATGTTTCTCTCAATCTCAGAGGGGGCTAAACCAATGTGAACACACAGCTTTACAGAAAAATAACTCATTTGAGTAGCTATAACAAAAGAAACAATTTATTGAGTAATTTCAATATTTAGGGAGGGTAGTGCAAATCTCACCAGGTTCTCACGTGGCTCTCTGCATAATTCAGATATTTTTGCCTCATCTATTAACCAACTGAATGTTCTTTGAGCATCCTGGGTCAAAACCTTAGACTGAAAATGTATTTTGATTTAAACTGTGTTCTGAAAAAAGCATAAAAATGTCACTCAGAGTTTTTTGGGCCAATTGATGTAGTCAATTTATCCAAAATCTCAAAATATTCTTTATTAAGGGATTAAGAGTTACAAATGCTGTAAAGTGGATTGTATTAATTGTTTAGCTGCTTTAAGTTTTCTCCCTGTATAATAATGGACTCCAGATGGTTTGTTAATGGCTTTATAACCCCTCAGATTGATGGACAGCAATGCTGAGGTCTTTCTTCCTTGGCAATGTGTTGTCACACACCTGAATGCTGCAGAGCAGCAAAACTAGAACTCCTTTTCACACAATTTTCCTCCATTTATCTTTAAGACGTTATATAATCATACTAAATCCACATTATATCCTGATATATTAAACCTTATTAGAAGACGGTGTGTGGACACCGGTATCTAAACCCTGAAAATGCTTACAAGTAAAAAAGACGCGCATGTCACGTCAAATGTCAAACAATAACAGAGCGGTCCGATTAAAAAAGTGGATTACCGGACCATAAAACGCCTTTAAAGACAAGTGACTAACGGCAAGTAGGGCGTTAAGCTAACGGTTGACGTTAGCTTCCGAAATATCAAAGAAATGACACGCCGACAAAAGCAGGAAACTTCTCACTTGAAGCACGATATATGCAAACAATTATCTGAGTCTTTTATTATCATTTTCGTCGTCGACATCAGTTTAAACACACTTACTCTGTAGAAGTTCAATCTGCCTCTTCAGGGCTTCTCTCTCCTCCATGTTTACGTGAAAAACGTGTCGTCATCAACTTGCGACTAAACTGGCCTGTGAGGCAGGTTGTTTTCAGCCAATCAGCGCCTGATATATGAAACACAGTCTTTTCCTTGTATTGACTTACAGGCTTAGATTTCTTTTTAGGATACAAAAAGTTTTTATTGTCATTACAACACACGTTGAAAATATTGGGCTGGAATTAATTTGGTTTCTCTGGTCCAGTTGCAGCCCTAATAAAATAATAGTTTAAAAAACAAAAAAACAGTGTAAGTTAAGATTGAGCAGATAGGAAAACAGAAAAAGCAAAGTGGGTAACATAAGAAGATAAACTCTACAGTATAAAAGTAGAACACTTTTCTGAAAATGATTTGTATCACTGAGGTAGTGTGCATGTGTAAAATGAGAACAAATAAAACAAGATGTTATAGAGTAGAAAGATAAAAAGAAAGTGTAAACTGTATTTAGCGAGTAGTCATGAATATTCAATTTGTTTGGGTTTTGATGGGGTTTATATACAGTATGTCTGCGAGTGCGTGTGTATACACATTTTGTGAAGTCTTCTTACCAAAAGAAAGAACATTTAGCATGTTTGTTTAAATGTGACAAGTGTGCAAATCCAGCAATAATTCTTTACCAAACATATGGCAACCAACATATTTCAATGCATAAAAACAATAATATGGTAAGGTTTGTTAATATTATAAATATTTCTTTAGATAAAAATATTAGTTTAAACAGATACTTCACATAATAATTGACTTAGCCGGTTATCAATTTACTATTTATAAGAAAAAGTTTATAAATAAAGCAACATTTCTTATTGACACGCTCCACGGGCTCCTGGTGCCTGTAAGACTCAGCTAAGGGATAAAACCACCGGGCTTCCTCACTGTACGCGTTGCTGTCCGTCAACAGATTTGAAAACAACAGCGTCACTGCGAAATTAGTGCCGTCTTTGCACCTTTTCAACATATATACACACCTGAAATCAAAGTTTTCTGTTTCTGAAGGGTTACCGGACAACTTTACCAACTTTTCTGTTGAGTGTCATTATCCTCGGACGGCTTTTTGGAGACGGTGACGACGCTTCAAAAGTGAAATGAATTGAAAGGGGAAGTGAAACTTTACGGAGCTACTCTGAGCTAAAAGTGCAACTCCAGATTTGTGTAGGTGAGTCTTAATATTGCCGTTTGGTCTTAAAATCATGTCGAATTAAGTAAGAAATATACTACCTTAACGTTTCCTAAAGACTAATGTAACGCAGCATGTGACGTTTTGACTATGAGCTCCAACTTCAGGCTGTTTAGTCCGTTTTGTTGCTAGTTAGCGAGCTAGCTTTGGTGTTTATTATTAAAATGAAACTACTTATAATGTCTGCACCTGTGTCTTTGTACAGCAACCTGCTACATCGCCTGACACGAACAACATGATGCCACCAGATCATGTATTCTTCATCATAACAGAAAAACCTGAGTATCCTCAACACATCCAACCTGGACGCATATGTTACCTGCCACGATATAAATACACAGGAGAACTCTCGAAACCTGATCCTGTCATGAAGCTCAGTGTCACTGTCCTTCCCACAAGTACGGGTCTAGATTATATGATTGAAAAGAGCTGCCTGGGGGCGCTAACTGCAGAGGAAGCTGAGCTGCTGCTGGCCCTCCAGGATGACCCTGAGAGGCTGAAATGGTTCAGGGACAAAGAGGCTCTCCGAACAGCTCTGGGACTCACTGTGGGCACCGCAGTGACTGTGGACGAAGACGGAAAGCAACTGAGAGGCATCATTCGCTATATTGGACGGATGGCTGAGCCGTCCTACCTCGTCCCCATATCGGGCACATTCTTTGGGATTGAACTGCAGGTCTGACTTAATGCTGGTTCAGCCAAATTAAATACTCTCTGTTTAGTTTTGGTTTCATTTCCCGAGCTTTTTAAATCTTCATTTGAGATAAATAAATTAAAAACTATCTGTAAATGACAGTTTGCTCCTTGAACCATGTAATTCAATTTTGGCTTGCTGTCACTCATAACAGTCAAAGGGCCAAGTCTGAAAATGCAAAGAAAATTAGAATAATTTAGGGAGCAAAGCATGTTAAGCTGGAGTTGGAAATGTTAAATATTGTCCATGTTTGCCTGAAAGGGAATTAATTCACATGTTTGTCATCTGCAGGGAGCCGACAGACGGAAGGGGAAGACCGACGGGAACTATCAGTATCGACAACTTTTCAAGTGTGACAGAAATTGTGGCATTTTTGCCCCATTTTCCAGGATACGGCCTGTGGTCCCCAGTTCTCTGTCACCCCCTGTCTCTACCCCCTCTCATGAGACACAAACAGACGAGCTGCTTCCAGGAGAAAGGGTCACTTGCTTCATCGGTGACTGCCTTCGCCACGGCATGGTGGTGGACGTGAAAGAAGAGGATGGAAAACACTTCGTCCGGATCTCCACTGTGAGTGACAACAATCTCAAAAATCATGTCTAAATGACGACCCTGATGCTTTATCCATTGGTTACCAACCAGCTCAGGTCTACTTATGTTTTACATCTAACATCAGCATGTCCAAACCGCTTCAGTTGCTTCAGGAGTTTTGGTATACAATCTGCTTCTGAGAGAACTCTGACCAAATCCTGCAAAGATGTATATATATGTATAAGCAGCCATTCAATGAAACATTGAATAATTATGGGATGACTTGTTTAATTTTAGACCCCTCTGATTTGGGGAATGGCGTGGTTTATTTTTGTAAATATTTAAAATGAAGATCAGATTTTTTTTCAGATTTCAAAGAGAAAATAAAACAAAAAAGAAAAGACAAGACAAAAAAAACAAAAACAGCATCAGATCTAGTTATATATTTAAAGGGGACAAACTGTATATACACACACACAAACATTCACATATATATATATATACATTTGCGTAACTGGCCTGTTACTGTAACTCTGCAACAGTATGTGCCATCAGAAGCATTTAAGCAGTTTCTTAAAAGTCACGTCATGCTCTTCACAACCAACATACAGTATGTGGTAAACAGTATGTCTGGCTTGTGTGTGGTTTCAGGACACAGATGAGAATGGGAAGAGAGGAGGAGAAGTTGTAGTCCCACTTGATTCTGTCGCTAAAGGAGAGGTGCCTGCAGGTGAGAGCGTCACTTTGTGCCAAAGTGAGAAGCTGCTTTCTTCCGTTGTGACTCATATGTCCCTCAATCTGCAGGACCGGAGAGCATGGACGTGGACTCTCCGCCAGACAAAGCCCTGGACCATGCTCTGCAGATGAGTCTGAACTCTATGGTGGAGGTGTCCGTGGCTTCAGGAAACGCCTATGGAATCATACGCTGGATCGGCAACTTACCTAACCGAGACGATGTCATGGTTGGATTGGAGCTGGTAAATCTACATTCTGATTTTAGCATCTGTGAAGTGTGTTTGGAAGCCATTACTACCACTTACCAGTTTGTGTGTTTGGGTTTGTGGCACCTGCAGGAGGGGGAGATGGGGGTGAGTGACGGGAGCTTCAAAGGGGAGCAGTACTTCCAGTGTCCCCCCCGGAGGGCGCTGTTTGTGAAGCTGAGCTCCTGTCGCCCTGACTCACGCTTTGAGAACAGCTTAGCCAATCACAACAAGGTGCTCCCAGAGCTGGACGACAAAGGTTAGTCAAGGAATGACCATTTCAACTAAAACAACTAGGTTAACAAGCCAAACTCATGTCCTCGTATTTCTGACTAAATAGAGTGATCACCAGAATAAGCATAATTTTATTTCTCTGTTATGCATTTGAAACATTTTTACCAAAGGAAACTGGGGCCTCTATGCTGAAAATGGCACACAATGATGACGTTCGGACCCAAGTGGGGAGGCGACCTGCATGCTTGTTGGTCTAAATCCTTGTTAGGAATGAGTCTCCATCATTTATTGGGATGTTTCTGATTGTTTTCACTGAGTCTACAACTATGATTGTATCCTGAAAGTGTGACATCATTCCAATCAGACACGCTTTAGCTTTAAATGCGGTTTAACATGTAGGGACAGAGAAAGGGGGTTTGAGGAGAACCCAGAATGGTCCTGAAATATGCAGCATCCCACATGTTGGATATTGGGAAGTTAATGGGTTAAATCAGTAAGTATTTACTGTTTTTCAGACACAAAATTTATGAAAATAAGTATGAAAATTGACTGCCACAATAGTTGATAAAACATTAAATCAGACAATAAATAAATTAAAATTAAAATAAAAACTGCTGAAGTCCAATTAAAAGGTATTTTTTAATTGTGCTCGTAGGAGTTTAATTTGCAAAAACTAGTTAAATAAGATATCAGGAAGCTTTTACAAAACGTCCTCTATCTCTGCTCTGATGACCCTAAATGAATCCTGGCTTTTATATTAATAGCTGGAAGCTTTACTTTGGATGTGTTACCTTTCCTTTTCCTAATTATTAGAGCTGAAATGCACAAGTCAAACCACCAGCTGGACCTCTGCTGTGTCTGTGGAGCAGTCCTATGTAATAATGGTCATTCATTTGTTTGCATTTCGCATCAGATTGCAGCTCATGGACGCTGGAGACTGTTCCTCCTATCAGCACAGAGCAAGTTAATCAGTGCCTGATTGGACGGATGAAGGGGATCCAGGGCCACTGTAACTCCTGCTACGTGGATGCCACCCTCTTCGGGTCAGAAAAATGTAGAAAAATGTAGTGCTGTTTGGTGCATTTCAGCAGGTTAACCCACCCTTTGTTTAATAATGCAAAACATCTTTTGGAGAGTTTACTGTTTTTGTGTGATCCCTGTAATTACAGATTAAAAAAACATCAGGTTAACGTGGAATGAAAGGTTTAAAAGAAGATGCTTTTTTTTAAAATGAAAAACAATGAAAAAACAGGCTCAACTGTGGATTTTAAACCTGTGTTTCTCTCTTTGCTTCCAGTTTGTTTTCCTGCTCCTCAGTGTTGGACTCCATGTTGTTCAAATCAATAACACCTCAGGACGCCCCAATCCAGAGGACTCTGCTCCGTGATATTGTCAACCCCCTCCGCAGGTCTGATTCAACACAATTATGAGCAACAACAGCTCTTTTAAGTTTAAACTTAAAAGAGCTGTTTTTTTTAGGTCCCCCACACACTGTATACATAATTTACTCCAGTTATAAAAGGCTCCGTCCAAATTTGAGGCATCGAATTGGTATTTTTTTAGCAGTATGAAGTTCCAGTATGATTTAAATCTGCTTCCTAAAGTGCACCAGATTTAATGTGATAGGATTGATTCATCATGTGATGTTAGTCTTTGTCAGCTCGGGTATGGTTTTCATTCCCCCTTTTCAAACCGGGAAAAAAAACACCTTAAACAAATCCTTTATGCATGCCTCCACAGTACCGGTTTCGTGGAGGGGCGGCACATCATGAAGCTCCGGCAGCAGCTGCAGAAACACGGCTACAGCCACTCCTTCACCACGGATGAGAAGGGTAGGTTTGACATGGAGCGGTCAAAGCTGCCCAATTTTACGCCGTGAGCTCATTTCACTCCTGTCTTTCAGATCCAGAGGAGTTCCTCAATGTCATCATGCATCGGATTCTGGCTCTGGACCCCTTACTGAAACTGTACGCCTAGACGCAGCTGCCAAAGCCTTCTGACTGTGTGGAGAAGCGGCGCTGAATCTTAACATGCTTCTACCTGCGTCATTTGCCTTTCAGGTCAGCCGCGGGTAAAGTGCAGGAGAGTTACTTCTATCAGATTTTCCTGGATCAGAACCACAGTCTGGTTCTCCCGACGGTCCAGCAGCTTCTGGAACATTCCTTCCACAGCTCAGGACTCAAGCTGGCAGAGGTGGGATCCCGTTTGTATGCCTTAAACACACAAATCCCCCCCCCCCCAAACAGAGGAGCTTTTTTGCTCTGAAGCCCCATACTTGGGTATTTCTGGGGTTCCTCCCCAAATTTATTTAATTCTTTTCCTTAACACCAAACCGAAAGCCATCTTGGTCTCAGATTGAAGCTAACACTGACAATTTCTCACAGCAGTCGGCAGTGTGTCATATAAACCTTTCCGAAGTTCCCACAGTAGGTCAGAAACGGAATGAAACCATGAACCAACATGTGGACATCATCTGTGCAGATTGATGCTGCTGGAGTGAAGCAGAGCAAAGTTCCAGAGGTTTCTGTTCAGTTAGAGCACTGCGTTTGGCTCTTAGACACATAATAGCACAACATGGAAAAGTGGATTTTTTTTTTAAGTTAAATTAACTAATCATTTAATCTCTGAGTTAGTGCTGCATCACTCGATAAAATTATATTTACCTAATTTAGTAGCCATTTGTCACCATGAGGAACTTAAAAGGGAACTTCTCCGAACCTGTAAGAAATTCAGGGCAGATTTCCCAGGCAGAGAAAAACTGGCTTCATCTGTGGCTGCTTCTCCAGTAGGTGGCCCTGCTGGTCGCTTCATGTTTGTCTTCTATTTGCAGGTGCCGTCCTGCCTCATCCTACAGATGCCTCGCTTTGGGAAGAAATTCAAGATGTTTGACAAAATTGTTCCCTCTCTGGAGCTGGACATCACTGACCTCCTTTCTGAGGGTACATTTAGAGACACCCTCACATTCAAAGCATCTGCAGCTCCCGTCCATGTGATAACCCTAGGATGTGTGTGCGTGTGTGTGTTTTAGGTCCTCAGCAGTGCAGGCTGTGTGGAAATCTGGCTGTGGAAGAATGCACAGATTGTTTTCAGGATCCTGTTTTCAGCCCAACAGGATTTAAAGTCTTCTGCAGGACGTGTTCAGATCAGGTTTGATGCTCAAATTCTGTCTTCTGGCCCCTTTTTTATGTGTTACAGACAACTGCTGTTAGGAGATTAAACCAAAAAAAAAATACTGACCTAAAACAAACATGTTTCAGAGTTCAGATTTGAATGTAAAGGAACAGTTGGACCAGCCAATCTGTGCTCAATCAATGGGAAGAATAGTTCCCAAACATGTGGAAAAACATACTCCTTAAAAAGAGACAAATATTTTCTGCTCATATATATGATTTCCATTTAGAGGAAATACTTCATGTGTTTAGCTTGCAAAGTGCCCCACTCTGTGCTCTTTCAATCCGTTAATGCACTAATGAAAGCAGATGCTAATGGAATATTATCACAGGCTCAAAGTGCTGCATAAATCATCCAAATTGAGGAAAACTTTCAGACTAACCCTAAAATCGCTTTTCTTAATTTGTTATGGTTTTCATCTTAGTTTGTCTGGAAAATGGTTGTTAAACATCTTTCCAGGTCCACCTCCATCCGCAGCGCCGGGCCCATAAGCCGGCCCCCCTGCACATCCCCAGAGACTACCTGAGCCGCGGCGGCCCGTACGCCCTCACCAGGGATAAACTGGAGCTGTTCGCCGTGCTCTGCATCGAGACGAGCCACTATGTGTCCTTCGTCAAACACGGGCCGAGCAGCCAGGACTGGATCTTCTTCGACAGCATGGCCGACAGACAGGGTGAGCGGGCAGCGTCCGGCGGCGCGAGCAGCCGGGGCCGCGAGAGGCCGCGGGCTCACGGGCTCCTGTCTCTGTGTTCAGGGGAGATGGACGGCTTCAACATCCCCGAGGTGACAGCCTGCCCCGAGGTCGGCGCCTACCTGGAGATGTCCCCCGCCGAGCTGGCCAATCAGTCGCCCCGAGACATGAAAGGTGTGGCCAAGCGCCTGTTCTGCGACGCCTACATGTACCTGTACCAGAGTGCCACCATGTCCCTCTACCGCTGATTTCCTACTGGTGTTCCCTTCCATCGGGTTCTTTTTCTTTTTCTTAATTCAAAGAAAGGTGTTTTAGAATAATTTATATAATATAAACATATATATACGTCTGTAAATTGGAAGGACAAGATAAATTGAGGTGGAAGTCTCAGTAATTTTTTTTTGCACTAGTTTGCAGTCAGCTGAGAAAACTGCAAAGGACCTGTTTTACTGTCATGTGTGGGTCGCTGTCTGTCTTCAAATAATCTACAGCACCTTTCAGTCAGAAATTCCAAAATGAAGACAAGATAGTAATTCCTCTATGGGTTGTGAATCCCAACGCACAAAAATGTTGTAGATGTCATTAATCTATTCCAAAAGTAAAGGTGGGAAATGTTCTGCTGTTAATTGTAATGAGCTTTGTTCAGATTCTGCCTCTTTAATCTCACCTCAGGAAATTAAATGAAAAGGCTATTTTAGATCTTTCCTAGTGATGGGGCCTTTGGTATTTTTTGGGAACAAAGCAGAATGAAACCTGCATTCAAATGGCTGCTTAGCTTTTCTTGCTGAACTTTTGATATGGACTACAATAAATGAGCGATTAAGAAGTGTCCGAGTTTGTCTTTATTTAAAAATAATGTGTTTCTCTGCATGTGTCCAGCCCAGCTTTGTGTATATATACTGTATGTATGTAAAGTCATCGGACCAAATGGGCTTTTAGGCTGTGTCCAGAATAAGGCAGCCATTGTGAAAGCCGCCATATTGGATCAAGTGTGAGTCTTTTCATTGGGAAGGTGGTCAGGTAGCATATCAAAAAAGAGAGGAATTGTATCAGAAATCGATTCACACAGAAAGCTGCAGCGGCAACTGGGAACTTTCAGCGTGCTGAACACGTAAGACAGCATCAAGTTTTGGGGAACCAGGAAACTTTGATGGCGAGTGGGCCAATGGAACAAAACATTCATGGACTAGTCCAAGTTCTGGTCCCCTTTGGGCCTCTTTCCTGAAGGCTTTAGATTGTTCCACGCTTGAATCACATCAATCCAGGATCATCAGGTCTGTGCAGAGCGTAAAATTGTTATGCATAGGTCCACTTAATAGGAAGCAGGCAATATTTGAAACCTGTAAAAAAAAATTTTTTTAAAAACAGATCAAGGAGCTTTTGTTCAAAGGAGTGGCTTTTCAGACTGACAGGTGACTCTGCAGGGGTTATGCTCTGGTTGGCATTAAAATGAATCTCTTGTTGATCATTGGGCATTTTTTTATCTTGTTGGATCACTTTCAGACATAATGCTTTCCTAAAGCCATTTAACTTGAGATATTCTTGTACAGGTCCCATGTTTTTGGGTAGCAATTTTATTTGGGAGCATCTCAAACAACTCTCAAATAACTTTATTTCCTTTATTTTTTAAACATGTCGTTTCCTTTATGTCAGAGAAGAATTTCTCTTCTGTTTTCCCCCCCTAAAGGCACACTTGCATCCACGTGTTTGCCTGAGCTCACGCTGAGTGTAAAATTGGCTTCATATCGAGCCTGAACACCGAGTGTCTAAACTCTAACAGATGGGAGTTATTTTCCCTGATAAAACACGATTTATTTCCCAATTAATTTTTCTTCTGAAGTGAAACAACCATCAAACTGCTCATCGTTTTCTCCCCCACTCTGTCCTGTTCCCGACTCCCAGTGTGAATTCCACAGAGCTGCCATCAGAAATGAAGCAGCTGAGCACGGAACAAGCAGGAAATGGCCTGTGAGCACCCCTCACAGTCTTACAGTCGGTTCCCTGCGTGGATCTGAAATGTCTGTTACACTTAAGGTGCAACAAAACGCTGCTTTGTCAGCTTTGAAGTATCGCACCAGCCTGGGCTTGATCGGCCCAGCATCACATGTTGTACAACGTCACGTGACATGAATACACACAAGGTCCTCCGACATGAAAGTGCAAAGAGTCTCATCTTTCTTTCAAACGGTGCCTGGCCGGATATTTGTCTTCATTCCCGATGCTTTTGATCCTGCCGTCTCTCTTTGTCTCGCTCTGATCAGCTCTCTGAGTGACCTCTGCAGTAGTTAGGAGTGCTGAGCTGTGCTGTGTGCTCTGATGAGCTTGGCTTTTTAATATAAGGCAGCCTTGAGTCTTAATGCCTGGCCCTGCCGCTGCCCAAAGCAGCCTCTCCTTCATAAAACATGCTTAGCATATTCACCGTTATGCAAAACGGAAAAAGGTTCCGATGTGTGTGTTTACCACAGCGAGTGTGTCAAAGGGGATGATGTCACCGGAATGAAGAACTCAGAGGTCAAAACAGATGACCCTTTTCTGTCATCCTCAGAGTCTGTGTAAAGGCAGACAAGGACAAGAAGACTTAAATAAACAAAACCGCAAAGAAAAAAAAAACAGGAAACAGAAAGCAGAGAGAAACAAGAACCAAAGACCAATTCTGAGAAGGCAGACACCGAAAAATATGGAGAACTCAAACTAGAAATAAGAACAATTAAAAACAACAGATCACAATGTCCATCTAAATCTGTAATCTATATCCACATATAAATTCAGGCATTGATGATGAAAATTGGAATTTGTTCCTGCCGAATACAAGAGAAGCAAGCCCACTAATCCTGCATACCTAGTCCAGACAGCTTGCAAGTTAGTCTTAGTGCAAATTCACGTGTTTCTGCCCTGAATTCATACCTTCATTTTTCTTTTCTTTATCAGTCTCTCTGAGCATCTTCATTCTGCTCCACGTTTTATAAAAGCTTTCCTCGTTTCCATGAGAAGAAAGCCTTTAAATTCCCACGCCTCCTAGGGACTTTCTCAGGCATAAGCTTGCTTAATTACTTAACTTCATTATCACTCAGAAAGGTTTCACTAAGCACAGATTTTGGGCTAATACAGCAGTCTTTAAGAGGAGTTTTGTGGCTTCCATCTCCAGAGTCTGACATTAATTCACAGCAGTGGTTCTTTGGATATTTGTATGTCAGCACCTGTGGGACCCTCATCTACATCCATCATGATCAGCATATAAACTGCACTGGCTGACCAGTTAAATCTGCATAATTAAGCACCACTAAGGTGAACCAAAAAGCCTCCCCGAGTGGTTCGATTGTCTTATTCTCCCCTACCCATCAGCAGACGTAGGCTGAACCCTTTTGGCACATTAATGTGGAGGTATATGAAGTGACAAATTGAAGATAGGAGATCAGAACCGGGTGATGATGAAGCAGGCTGCATGTTGTCCTGCACGAGGACAATCTACCCAGGGAGCTGCCGCTGATTTATCCTTTCCAATAAACAGGGAGATGAGTTTACCCCTAATGGTGCCACGAGACGTGGCTTTTACCGGGAAATCACGAATCAATTCCCCAGAGGCTGCAGGTCCTCAAAGCAGCTAGTGACTCTCTGTTAATCTCCTTCTTAATGTGTTGCGGGGATGCTTCATTCACTGATTTGCAGCCCTAATTTTGGCGCTTTGAGGGACCCAAATCTTCACTGAAGTTTCTAACGAAGAGTCATAGATGCCATAAACTTCTCTTTGAGGGAAATCTGCAATGAAAACAATTCTCGCAGGACAGCTTCTCATGGTGGAAACGCAAACCGCAGCCAAGTTGGCAGAACACTCTGAACAATGTCGTGATGCAGCTTAAACAAATAGCTTTGAGGATGTTTCTTAGGTTCAGGCTGAAAGTGAGCAACACAATCTTCATCTGTTGCTGTACAAAACTTTTCAAACAATGGTAAAAACCTCCCTAAATACTGTATTGAAACAACAACTACCTGTGGGGTGGAGAAATAACTTCAAAGTCCTACCCTCTCCCTTTCCAAACACCTCCTCTGAGCTCACTTTAGTTTCTACCACATGCTGTATGTCCATTTTTCTCACATACATTGGCTGTGCTGAGCATCAATAAACATTTTCCTGCGTTTGAATTCGCCTGCCAACCCCCACTCGGCAAATCCACCCATTAAAATGTCCGATGACTTCCTTCCAACATGGTCTCTGCCTGTCGTTTTTTTTTTGCAGTCGTTTCTCCTCATCATGCCAATTTGCTCGTGGGTCCCACTATTTGTTTCTTCCTCTGATAATGACTACCTGGAAACATCAAATTAGGTGTTCTCAGTATTGTTATGATGCTGTGAACTCTCATGCAGATCATTTGACATGCTTTGGCAAGTGATGCTGCACCTTAAGCAACAAATCATCTTAATTAATGGCAGCCGCCCTAATGGCAAGAGTGTAACCAGTGCCTATGTGCATCAGAGATAATGATGATGAATGCAAGCTTGGAGAGTTTGATTAAGGAGACACCATCAGAAGCCGAGTAAATGTGCACTGTTCCTCTTCTCCATCTGATTAGACTGAGACTGGGCAGAAAGCTAAATTCTTCAGAGAATTACCATGCAAACATAGCAGATCAATGCCGCCTTTCTAAATGGCACATGAGTCAGCCTTAAAACGAGCGTGTAATTAGGAGCCGGTGATCCGCCTTCAACTTGATATCCTCATTAAAGCCTGCAAACACAAACAAAGAGGAGCTGGACAGATTAAGCCATTAGTGACAAATGGGCAGCAAAGCAGCAGGGCCGGCCTCCGTTTTCTGCATCCCCCCCCTCATTAAATCCGGGGTCATAGTGAAGCAGCGGCCTTTCACATGGGGGTCAGGGCCCTGGTCCTCCAGGGGCCCAACACAGAGGCACGCATCACCTCAGTTCCAGTCCCCGTCATGACTGTTTGTGGACAACAGGAGCACCAGGATGATATTTATTGTTTTATAAGAATGACTTTTGATTTTCTTTTAGTCACAACTAAAGCAGGAACCTTCTTAATGACCCCAAACTATTTTTTTCATCAGAACCAGAACCATCTTTGTGGACCGGCTGGGGACTGAGAGGACAGGAAAGAGGGGCCAACCAGCACCGTGACACCAGGTCAGAGATAGCTGCTGAGAAAGAGAAACAAAATAATGACAACAACAATGTCACATGTACATGGAGAGGAAAGAGCTGTGTGGGCCTATAGCAGCAGAACTATGGGATGTTTCAGGGTCACTGAGCCATCTTATACTATAAACTGTATCTAAAAGGAAAGTCTGAAGCCTGATCTTAAAGGTAGAGAGGGGTTCTGCTTCCACAAGTATACCTGCAGTCTGCTGGGATCTTCTGGGAGAATATCCAACTGTGAGCTCTGCAGAGATGATGGAGCTGCTCATTCAGAGCTTTGTAGGTGAGGAGCACAACTTGCAGCAATTCAGATTCTGTTCTGAATTTAACAGGGAGCAAATGAAGAGAAGCTGAAAATGGAGAAATATGATCAGAACTCTGGCTGCAGCTTTTTGGATCACCTGGATCGCCTTTCAGAGCATCGTGGACCATATATTTTTATGTGGTCTAAAGAGAAAAACTCTAAAACAGGAGTATTAAAAAAAACACATTGGACTGAATGTGTTGGGTTTGACTTATTTTAGTGTCAGAACCCTCAGCTGAGTCTGCTCAGATACAAATCTGCAACGGGAGGAGCTGGTGGAGCTCCAGGCCCCGCAGCAGCTGCAGGCTGGCAGGAACCCGCAGGAGCTGAGGTCATCATGATGGGATGGATATGAGAGGTGTGCCTCCACGGAC